GTGTTCCAGGCTTGATGTGCCCACAGCGTGGGGAAACTGAGGCCCGGGAGGCCTGCAGAGGAGAGGCTTTGTAAAAACGCACTCGTTTGTTCGCTCAGGAAAGTTATTCCGCTCCCATTAAGTGCGGGACCTCGAGTATCCAGAAGCCAAGTAGGCGTGCCCTCTGGGACTGTGAAATCCGCTTGCAGAGTTATTTTGCTTGGGGTTGACCTGTAGTCCAGTAGCAGGGTGCCCAGTCGGCTCCAGATTCTGACTTCCAGCCCCAGCACCACCGGAACTAATCTATGAATTCCTTCTGGTGTCTAGAAACCCAGCGAGCCCGGGGGTGGGGGTGGGGTGTGAGGAAAGGCTTCCCTATGGAGTAGTGCTTGCTGGAAGGCAGGATCAGTGAGTGGGATTAACTGACAGGGAAAGAGAAGCCATCGGGCAGGAAACTGGGCCGACCAGAGGCCTGTGCAGGGAGGGCAAGAGGGGGGAGTGGGCACATTGCATTGGTTTTGGAAAGGTCGCCAGTGGACCTGCCGAGCCATGAGGTGGAGGGACCCCAGCAAGGTGGTACTGGGCGACTTGGTAGTAACTTCTCTTTCATACAGCCCCCACCCATACCCTGGACTTCTGTGTGGTGTCCAGGCCTTGCTGGTCATAAATCTCCAATCCACTCCTCCACCTGGGGTTTAATGGCTCCACCTTCCTCCTCAGTGCCCAAGTGGAAATCCAGAAAGCCATCTGGCTCCTCTCTGACTCTACCAGGTCCTGGGGGTATTAACAGTCCTGGACCTTGAAAAGGATTGTCTTCTGAATTTTTTATTGCCGGCAGTGGTGGTGCATGCCTTTAATCCCAGCACTGGGAGGCAGGTGGATCTCTGTTTGTTCTAGGTCAGCCTGTCTACAAAGCTACATAGAGAAACCCTGTCTTAAAAAGGAAAGAGAAAGAAAGAAAGAAAGAAAGAAAGAAAGAAAGAAAGAAAGAAAGAAAGAAAGAAAAAAAGAAAGCAGGCTGAGCAAGCCAGTAAGCAGCACCCTCCATGGCCTATGCATCAGCTCCTGCCTCCAGGTTCCTGTTTGAGTTCCTGTCCTGACTTTTCATTATGATATGAAAGTGTAAGCCAAATAAACCCTTTCCTCCCCAAGTTGCTCATGGTCATGGTTTTTCACCACAACAACAGAAACCCTAACAAAAAGGTGAATCTAGAATTTTTTCGTGTCTCCCCAGTCCCTAACCAGGGCCAGTTCTAATGCTCTTGGTTTTACCTCTGGCTACACCATTGCCACGGGTCCCTACACCCTTCCTGTCTATGGGACTAAAATCCATTTCCTGTTGCCCTGTTATTGGTACTTCATTCTACCACAGAACCCCTCTCAAGTCCTGCCCCACCCCTTCTCACTTCCTCCTTCAGCTAAAAGGTTCCCGTCCCACAGTTAGACATCACCTCCGAAGATCCTTCCCTGCCCCCAGACAGTATCCTTTCCACAGCAAGACAGCCCTGCCCCCAGCCCCCAGCCTCAGCACCAACCTGCATTGGTGCTGCCATTACATCTGTATTTATCCTATACCTCAGGCATTCAGCCTGAAATGTCCCTAAGAAAGGTCTCAGGGAGGAGGCTGGAATTGGGCTGGGGAGGGCACTAAATACTTAGGGACATATCCTCACAAATTCAGTGACAATTACCATTGTGATTTGTTGGTTTTTTCATTTGTACGTATGTATGAGTCTATGTGAGGGTGTGTGCGTATGCACCTGTCCAGAAGAGGGCAACACATCCTCTGGAGCTAGAGTTACAGGCAGTTGCCAGCTGCCCAGCTCTGGTCCTTGGCAAGAACAGCAAGCACTCCTAACGGCCGAGCCATCTCTCCAGCCCTGAGATGGCTTTCTAGGATAGCAACATTAATACATAAATATACAAGGAACGAAACAACAAAACATAAAAAGACAAGATCAACACCAAGTTTGTGATTTTTTTTTTTCTTCCAGCCCAGGCTCCTGTGTGCTCAGCAAAGCACATTATTGATTTGATTCTGTCTTCAGTTAAAAGTTTTAGTCTTGGGGCTGAAGAAATGACTCAGTGGTTAAGAGCACTAACTTCTCTTGAATAGGACCTGGGTTCGATTTCCTGGCTCCCCATAACCATCTGTAACTCCAGTTCCAACGATATGATGCCCTCTTCTAGCCTCCTCAGGCACCAGATATTCACATGGGATGCAGAGATGCATGCAAACAGAACACATAAAATAAAATAAGTTTTCTTAAAGCTTACATCTTTTGTTTTTTGAATGAACATAGATTTATTTATTTATTTATTTATTTATTGGTTTTTCAAGACAGGGTTTCTCTGTGTAGCTTTGGAGCCTATCCTGGCACTCACTCTGGAGACCAGGCTGGCCTTGAACTCACAGAGATCCTCCTGCCTCTGCCTCCCGAGTGCTGG